TGGGTACTGTAACAACTTTGCAGATTTTATTATATTCTAAGCAGCTCATTTTTAGCACTACCAAACTGAGGCACTAGGGGAGCACTGTAATAACATATGGATCAATTAACACATGTTTGGGCTTCTATATTAACAAATGGGACTATAATAGATGGCAATCTTTGGGGGCAATACAGCAGATTTGGAGGAATTGGGTGCACACATTTTTGGGGCACCCTACCAGTTTTTGACATTGAGCACTACAATTCAGGATTATATTATCAGGTAACTAATTTTGGGGTATTTTGGCAAACTAATAAAATGTGGGAATATGACTTGGTTGGAGCTGTCAGTGAGTCCCGTAATTAATTAAATAAATAATGGCGTACTGTTCCTGTATGGTGGATTAATATTTGGACAGTGGTAAAAAAAAAAAAAAACACCCAAACAGAAAGTGGTGCTCTGTTCGGGGAAGGAAGCGCAAATACGCACTGAGTCAGTCCGGGAATTAGAGAGTCAGAAAAGGGGGGAGGAGGGTGAAGGAGAGAAAGAGAAAGAGAGAGTGAGAGAGAGAGAGAGAGAGAGCTGTAACTAAAGTAGACACCACAAACCTGAGCTTACTGGCATTTCCCTCCTCCGGCCCATGAGGGTGAACTGCACCGCTGGATGCACAAAGTTTATCCTCTTTCACTGAAAACATCTCATAGGTAAGTTTCCATGTTTGCTGGTTTTTGTAATTCCAGGTAATAGTTGATTAATTGCTGTGTAATGTTTATGTAGCAAGGTGACACCGACGCAAATTCCTCCATACGCCCGCAGCACAGCGCGCTGTTTGTGGAGTAGTTGGTTCCGGGCTGATGAAATGATTTATGCGCTTCACTTTGTGATTGCAGCTGAGTGTTAATCGATCCTCCAGGAGGTCCACAAACTCACTGAAAGTGTACTCATTTCTTCTTTTTGTCATAATTTAGCAGCCATGAGAGTGAAATTAGGGGTTTGAGATTATATTATATTATATATTATAAAATAATTGCAATAATCTGCAGGGAAATAATTCGGGGATTATAATTTTGGGGTCATTGCACCGATTTTGGAGGAGTTGGGCGCATTTGGGCATTACATCAAATCACAAACTTTGGGATTTATGGTAACAATAATACATTTTAAGATTATATGTTTTTGCAAAGCAAATTGTGCCAGTGTCGATGCATTACATCACATTTTTGGATCACACATCTTGGGGCTCTTTACCAAATTTGGGGTTCACTCTCGCTTTGGGGTTTGGGATAAACGGAACATATCTATCTATCAATCTATCAATCTATATAATTGTGGGATTATATCAACAAATCTGGGAATCTTGGGACCATAACAATTGACACATTTTCCCCCAAATTGGAAAAAAAATGTTGGGGTGCAAAACCAAACATTGTTTTTTGTGGAATTAAAATTTGGGATCACAACACGGTATCTGGGCACTATGCCAAAGTTTGGGATTGATAGGGCTGCACTATAACAAGAATTTTATTTTAATTAATGCCAAACCTGGTGGGCACAATAACAAATTTGGGTATTTGGAGTGTTATCACCTTCTGATTAGGTCCCCAGAAAGGCTTGTTCCAGGCCTGGTGGTATCACTGTTTACTGTTTAAACTATAACTTCCACTTAGTCTCTTAACATTGAAATATTTCCAGTTGCAGCCATGGAGTGCCTCAAAGACTGCTGCAAGACATTCATGAAGAAGAAAGGAAAGGAGCAGGAGACCCAAGGTAAACTGATGTCTTGCACAGCTGCGTATCAGACAGCTTTGACAGAGTGTTTTGTTTCTGATTGAGTGATTTCTTCTGCTTTCAAGTGATCACACTGAAGATGCCTCCGAACAAGGCAGCAGCATTAGGACGGGAGCTAGATGAAGGGAAAAGGGGGGTCACAGAAGATTACCTACTATCCAAGCTGCCCCCGGATGGCAGAGAGGTGCCGTTTGTCCTGCCGACCTTCAAGGCCTCTTACATCCAACCCAGAGGCTCCCGATACCCCAATTTGCAGTCTGGGCTTCAGAGTATGTACCTAATGAAGAATGACATCAGCTGGCTGTTCTCCCTTTGTTTGCACTGGAAGATGCTCAGTATCTTGAGGGACTAAAGTCATTTACACTGTCATGTGCAAATGAACTCCAACAATGTATTAATCTGCTGTTAGTGTTGATTTAAAGGTTGGGTTGGTAAATAATGCCAGTCCCATCATCACAGTGTCTCTAACCACACTATATACACAACATGTAATTGATATCTGAACTTTTAGTTGTCTATTAGTTTGACGAGACAAAGGTTTGATTGGTCTTGGGCGATATATTTTGACTGCAACAGCGTCTCCATCAGGTCATTTTACAGTTGAAGAATTTTGGCTTTTTTAGAGCTTGAAATTATGACACACTTTATAATAGGTCAGTCAGCCCAGAGATAGAGTTTAACTAGGGTGGAATAACACATGTAATCTCGCCTCAATATAGGGTTAGGTCGACTGACACATATTACTCCACCCTAACAAGCTCAACCCTCACTGTGGACTCACAGAGCCAATTGCATCATGTGTCTAAGTTTCATTAAAATCAGCTCAGAGGTTACCGAGGTACGGCCGGATATTTGATTACACAGGAGACAAGTACCAGGATATCCTGGTTCTTAATGAATAGCTGTGGTCCTTCAGTTTACTGACTGAAAAGAATAATTTGGTCAAATGGATGTAAGCTGACCTCCAACTCTGCTTTCTGTCTGCAGGTTCAGCCCGGTGCACGTATGCAGAGAGGAAAGCAGAGCTGCTGGGCTCCAGTCACTTCACCTACAGCCCCGAGTCCAGCTTCCATCAGGGTCAGATGGCGGAGTTCGTGTCACCCGGCTCGACACGCCGCAACACACTTAAGAACAAAAACGGCGGTCCCCAAAGTCCAGGTAGCAGACGCAGAAGTAAACCATATCAAAGATCTCTGACTGTATGCCAATCAGAAATCAATCATTTGTACATTTATATCTCACAATGTTTGGATTTCTTACTTTTGTATATGTTTAAGGTGCTAAAAAAGAAATTAGAAGTTTGTGTTACAGCCAAACACAGTGTGCATATTCATTATTATGTAACACCTATTCAACAGTTTGCCCCAATTTTCAGTTTATCTGCAGTTGTAGAGACATAAGTGTTGTAAATAAAGGGATAAGAAATAATCTATGTATCTGTTTGATGTTTTGGCTCTAGGTTGGATTCTGAAGCCGGCCGTCGAGCAGCGACTGAGCAGCTCCATGTTTGATCTGTCCAGCTCTACGAATCACATGCAGGTGAGATCGCTCTCTATCTAATCTGTATTCACACATCGTTTCTCACCCTGTGTCAACCTTGACTAAATATAGTTTTACAGTTTCCACTATCCTCAGCAGCATAGTGCAACATTGCAAAGTCTCACAGGCTGGTATTTTAATTTAAGGGGGTAAAGTGAGGTGGTCATTATATCCTGAAGAGTTTATTATAAGGAGCAGGTGAGCTGCTGGATGGGTGCAGCTAATCTACACTGTTAAACTTAACTGTGTTTAAAAGTCTCAAAAACATACTTGCCATTCAGATATCATGTTTACTGACAGCAGAAATATTTCAGAAATTGTGCCACTTCTGATAAAACAACACATTCTACAAATATGGAGGCACTGGAAAAAAAATATACACGATTTCACTCATAGTACGTAAAAAAAAAAGTTAAACAGGTTCCCCATGCTAGCCTGGCTCTGTCCAAATGTAACAAAATCTGAATACTAGCATCTCTAAAGCTCCCTATTAAACATATTATATCTCATTTGTTAAAAAAAACAACAACAAAGTGTAAAAATGACATGTTGTGGTTTTACCGTGGGTTATATATCTGACTATTTCCTGGAGACCTTCCAGACCGTCTCCACTAATACTCCAGCACTAAATTCTTTGTAAAAACACAATTTCTCATTTTGACACCTTTTGTTTTTTGTATGTCTTGAACAAATGAGATATAATTTGTTCATTTGTGAGCCTTGGAGGCGGATTTTGTTACCTTTGGACAGAGCCAGGCTAGCTGTTTCCCCCCTGTTTCCAGTCTTTATGCCAGGCTAAGCTAACCAGCTGCTGGCTGTTGCCCAATATTGAACAGAGATTTATGAGAGTGGTATTGATATTTTCAACTAATGCTAAGAAAATTAATACATTTATTTATCAAAATGTCCAACTATAAGTATAACTAAATAACTTAATTAAAAGTTTTTATTCAGTTGATTGAAAACAGGAAAACATTTATAAAAAAGCCTGTATATGTCTTTTTACACTCACTGTAATTATATATAACTTTAATAAACAGGAGAAGTGCCTCACTGAGATCTGTGTCTTGGCCATTTCACTCTATCTAGTCACACTTTACTAACTACTTTATGTCCAATTTGGGACGCCATATAACTTCTTTGCATCTTTAAAATAACAAAAAAGTCAAAACACCCTCAGAGATCATCTATTTATAATAGAAAGTTGATGATGGAGATAATCATGTGAGTCCTTTTGAAGTGGATCTAAAAGGTTTTATGGAACTTAATTTGAAAGTGATGATAAAGTTCAGCACTTACTCCTCCAGTCTGGCAGCCGTCCCTGAATGTATTTTTGTTTGCTATGTATGATTCAGCTGTAGATTGTCTGCGACTAAGTGGTATTTAATCACTAATACAATATGGTGGAAAACAATGAGCAATTTGGGGCGTATTTCTTTGTTCTGTTAAGGATGTGGTATAGTATACCTGTCAACTGCTCTTATAACTTAACACGAATAGCTGTGTTACAAACAATCGATTTAATGTCTCGCCCAAAACCTCAAAAAACATTACAGTATATCACATAAATGACAGAGCACTGTTTTGAATGTTGTGAATCAACACGGATACATTTACATTCACTTTCTGTTGATGTGTCTATTAGCCACAGCAACATGCAGTGGTTTTTTAAATTACGTTTCAGTTAGTTCAAATGTTTAGCCTGGCAACACTATGAGCAAACAGTAATAAAAGTAAGGCGCACCTTGGCAATATATCTAATAGCAGTAAACCAGAGTTTACTGAATGAAGATGTAAAATGAAAAGTGCAAGTAAAGCAATAAGAACCAGTGAGAGGTGGTGTTTTTAAAGTTAAAGAAGAGGATGTGAAGTGATTTTCATTGTCATTCCTACAATCTCAAAGCTACGTTGGTCAGTATCTCAACAACTGTCCCCAGATGATAAATCCTAATGACCTGAAATTCAGGTTCAAGCATTCATGGTCCTCAGAGGATGAACTGTAATATCTTTGATCCCCTGACAGTATTTTGGTTTATGACTGCATACCTGCCAAACTAATGACACTCTTATTAGCCTCAGCTGTACTTTGTGTTTAATGGGAATTGTTTAAGATACTGAACATGGTAAACATTATACCCGCACCTATGTACAGCCTCATAAAAGTGGCTGCTGACTGTTGTTAAATTATAAAGTTTATAGGATAATGAACCTTTCGTGCTCTTCTGACTATCTGTATGTGTTTTGGATTCGCCTGCAGCGCTTCGACTCCGTCTCCAGCGTCCTCAGCAGCACATCCTCCATGATAGGCTCCATCGAAAGCAGCCTGGGTAACTTAAACACAGATTTACCTCTATCTACAAGCATTTTCCCTTTTAAACTTCATGTTTGGGTGGAGCTCTGTCTACCACCGTCATCTTCTGGTGAAGAAAAAAAAAGAAAACACAAAGACCCAAGGGGTCATGACTTCAGTCTGATTACGATCACTCTGCATTGTGCAACCATGAAAGGGCAGACATAGTAATCACTTCCAAATGTTTTCACTACAGTCCACAATTGAGCTTCAGAGATAAGCCTTCTTACATAAAGATTGTATTATTCCATGAAGAGAGGCTGCTTTGTTATAATAAGAGATAAATTATTTGTATAAAGATAAAGTTGTTTTTCCTTTTGGTTGCTGTTTTTTCTTTCAATTGCAACTTATGTTACAACTTTTTCAATTAAGTCATGAACTGCCATGACAAATGGCCACCTCTATTAATTTTGCTTTTTTTATACTATGCAACAATAATGCTGTGTTTTGTGAGGACCATGAATACTGTTGTATTCATAAACAATCCAGAAAGATGAAATCTTAGATTATACATTAAATTTGGTACAAAAGCGTATACATTTCCATCTATATCAGCTTTTAACATTCAAACAAAAACTTAATATAGCTCATATCTAAATTATAACATTACATCTAATAATTTGTTCCTGTTGCGCTGCTTTCGTCTCATTCAAATGTTACAGACTCCATCAACCTGTCTGGGGACGAGCGCGAGTTGGGGAAGGTGTGCGTCCGAGTGAGCTACCAGGAGGCTGTGGAGCAGGTGTGGATCACTCTGGTCCAGGTAAGGTTACATGCTGCGAGGAAAAAGGGCAGCATGAGGACACAAAAAGCTCCATTGTGCTCTTCTACAGCATTTGTCAATGGACCCTCTGTGTGTCCAGAACACAGGTCTCTATTAGCTCCTCTCAGTGCTCTATTAACTTTGGCTCAGACACTCAGGCAGGAAAAGGTTATTTTTTTTTAAGGAACAGAACTGTCCCCATTGATGCTAAAGCACAGTGATACGTGCATCTGAGGAAGAGTGCATTCACGCAAAAGGCGACACCCACTGTGTGTGTGCTAAATATTTGTTTACAGTTTTAAGACTTTAAGAGACGTCTTCTCAAGGAACTGGGTCAAAAATAAAAAAGTGGGACCTCTTTCCCACCCAAGATTAAGGTTTTGGTTAGGGTTCATTTGGGTTTAGTGCAGCACTTGACCTATCCAGTGGGACTTTTGAACATTGAACAAATGCCCTTGTTGTGTGACATTATGTCAAATGTCTTTCCTGGAGCATTAATGAAGCATGTCCTGCATGAATAAAGGTTTTACAAAAGAAAAAGAGCACATCAAATGAAAGCAGCCTGTTGTTTCTGAAAATATTAAAAACAATAAAAATAATACTCACATAATTCTCATATCCACAGATTTGTATTTGTGTCCTTTTTGATAAGTAGAGCAGTTTGCCCCAAACCTGTTTGCTTAAGATCACTTGAGCCTATAAATAGATTTGACCTGCCCCGACTAAAATGTTCTTTTTCCTCTTTCGTTATCAGTGTTCAGACCTCAACGTTCCTCTGGATGGAGTGGAGCAACAAAAGATTGGATTTAAAGGGATCATCACCATCCCCAAACCGATACAGTTCAAGAGCTCGATTAAGGAGTACTGTCAGGTAATGCAGAGGACCGCTGTCTAAAAACAGATGAAATGCAGAAATTAAAGTTATTTTTATGTTTATGGTCACAAATAAAGTTGTAACTCAGGTTTTAAGAGAAGGTTTATGAATAAAAAGGTGGTTTTCATTTGGCTCTTTTCCTTTCTTCAGATGCTATGTACCTTTTTTTGAGGGAGAAAAACTTTGCAGCGTTGTTCCAGTTAGCATCAAATGGATTTATTGTTTCTGAATGACTTTATTGTCTGCTCCTTTTTCTCTTTAGGACGTGTCCTTCATGGAGACCTTTGTATTTGCGCTGCGTCTCCAGCAGTTGCGCTGCAGTGCTCTGGTGTTGCGGCTGCAAACACACAACCCCAGGAAACGTACGGCGGCGGAGTGCGTGCTCTCCCTACGACAGCTCGGTCCTCAGGAGACAGAGCACTGGCTCGACTTCAACCCTCCCTCCAAGTCCTCTGTGAGTGTTCCCTTGTTATGAGTCAGGCTTGTGGCACTGGAATCTGTTTTTGGTCTTAAGTCTGGTGTCCTGTTTTTGTTTCCATTACATTGTCTCTCACTGGTTTTTCAAATAGTAACACAGTTTAAGAACATTTAAAAGATCACAGATCACCAGGAATAACAATTATTATCTCAAACCAGACAAATCTCATGGAAGGGATTTTTTTATATATCATCAACCTTTAACCACTTTACCTCCAGGTCAGATTTCAGAATAATTCCATGTATTTATCCTTAAGAACGTCCTTAGATACAATTTTAACGGTTTTCCACTGCAAATAGTACCTCCTTCCATGTAGCTGGGAATCTTTGTCTATCTGTGTGAAACTTCTGTTTTCAACATTAGACTGGATGCAGTGCAAGATGTCCCGTGTTGCACAAGTGACGATTAGTAACTATTCTCTCTGACCAATCGGGGGTCTGCAGTGTTTTAACTCCACCTATCGACCCAGTTCTCTTGGAACCCCGACTGAGTTGATAACAAAAAGGGAGCAGGTAATATCCACAACTTCTGCCAATAGAAAACCAAGAAAAAAACGCTTCCTAGCAAGTTCAGTCGAGCCGAGTCGTTCCATGCAGTGAAAATAAGGCGTTACTTAATTAGAACAAAACCCAAAGTACAGAGGAGACTGACAGTAATACTCTCATCAGCAAAGTGATTACAATTCATCCTGAGGGGCATATGAATGTCTGTACCATGACAATCCAATAGTTATATCATAGAGATATTTTACCAAAACGACAAATGTGGACCTCACGAGACGCTAGAGGAAAACTCAGGGGATCATCAAAGTCCACATGGTTCATGTTCTGGGGACCATGAATGTTTGCACAGACTTTCATGGAAACCATCTTTGTTGACATATTTCAGTCTACACCAGAGTGGTGGACCAACTGACTGCCATCATGCGCCTATCATGGCTTAAAATACACACATAGTGGCTTTAAATTGCTTGGTATGGCCTTTTGTTTTACCCTGTTTAGTACAGATCTAGAAAATTTATTTTTGATATTAGATTATGGCAACATGGCAACTAAAGCTAAGAAAAGAAAGGCAGAGGGACAAATAGTGATTGACATTTGCTGAGTCACAAAGTTTGAGTCATCTAGTCCAAATAATCAGTGCTGAGTTTGGTATTCGATGTTCATACTGGCTGCTCACCAATGGACCTGATATAGTCTAAGTTGCAGCAATTAGCTGATACTGTTTTACCCACTCTCCAGCTGTTGTAGCCAAGAGGAAAAACCTGCAGTGTGTGAATATCCCAGACTTTTACAACTTATTCTCTGCCATTTCCTCTGTTGGCTGCTGTCTTTTATCACCCCTTTGTACATGCATGGCAAATAAGAACAAAGCACTGCGTGTGCCTTATAAAACTGTCCCTATGATGCATTGTACCCCACTGGCAATGGCCTTAACAGGGTAATATTGACGTTGAGTCAGACTTCATGTTGTTGCATAATCACAGGAATAAGAGAAAGGAGATTCATTATTGAGGGAAATTGGGAAACAGGCTTTTATTTCAGAGAAGAAACAAGAGTGCGGATTCTGGAAATGTAAGACACAGAAAGTAGGTCAAACCTCAAACCATTTCAACAACAGTGAGTGGTTTTGTTGATAAATGGGTGCATGTCTGGCCAGTGACAGTAAAATGTGAAGTGTTTCTGCACTTAAGGGATCAGACAGTGAATCATCATTAGGATGTCAGAGGGACAATTTGATACAGTCAGTGAATTTACCCATCTGGTGGACACAAAAGGCAAAAATTGTCCAAATCACTGTCCATCGGTAGAGGCTCTTAAAGATCAAGACGGCTGAATTTGTGAAAGGCTCGAACAAGAAAAAAATCAGCAACAATTTGAAAAGAAGCAGGACAGATGGCAGTCTAAAATGAATCATATAACAAGAGTCTACAGCCGTACTAATGGTATGCGTCAGTATGCTAACATGCTCACAATGATAATGCTAACAACATTTTTTAACACACCTCATACGTAACAGCTTGTTTAGCGTGTCAGCTTCCTTACATTTGCTTATTATAATTTTATAATGTATAAAATAATGCAGTTTACTGTTTCCCACTCTCACTTCACTATCAGTCATATCCTGAAATCTATAGAATGACCCAGTGTATTTTTCTTTTTTATTAATTTACAAAAGTCCCCAAATAAAAGAGCATGTTACTGGCTAAGTTAAGCAGGTATATTAGATTGTAATGTGCATATAATAATGGAAATACAAATGACTTTCCTTTGTTTTGGTATCAGCGTTATATATAGACCAATTGGTCGCCCTGCTCTCTAAATATCAGCTACAGAAAAACACATATCAGTGGACCACTAATCGAGAAGTTGCAGTAATTACCCCCCTTTTAAAGTCCAATGTAATATCTCAGACATCACTACCCCAAGTTGGACGAACATAGAAAAATTTGAAAAACACAAGCGCTGTATTTAAAGGTCAATATGTTGTAGTTTTAAAGTCACAAACTTAGCTTCAAAATGTAGCTTCAACTGACACCAAACAGCTGTCCTAACAGCTTACACTGATTGCTCTGAGAGAACGACGCTAAAAGGTAAAAATATCAAACTCTGAGAGACTCTAACTGCTACAGTGCTGGCCCAGTTTAGATGAAGCTTGATGGTGGTTGATCCTTCTTGGACATGTTTACTTGATGCTGGTAGTGTCTTTGGTGCTCAGTAGCCACTTAGAAGTCCAGAAAACAAAATTTCCTTTCTTAATCAGTGGATGCACAAAAATGTGATCTTCATTCATTACTGTAGCTGTAGGTTATTTTGTCAGGCTGCTTCCCTTTATAATCTTCTGACGTGTCTTTCAGGATGTTTTGCAGAGCCAGCACTATAACAAACATCCATAAAACTGTAAAATCTTTTTGAATTTGGATACATGATTGCATCCATTATCCATTATGAGAGAGAAATTCAAAGATTATTGCTCTAAAATTCACTATTAAATGTCTAAGTATTAAAATATAATTGATCATCCTCTTTCAGGTGTGTCACTCTGAGCTGCATCTCACCACCTGCTTTCAGCCAGTCAACGGACGCATCCAGCTCCAAGTCCTCGCCGCCCAAAACCTCCCAGCAGCCTCCTCACCACTCACCCAAGGTAGGTGTCACTGAAATGGTCTAGTGTGAACTCCAGTCCCGTGTGGCTCATGTGAGTAACCATACTGTTATTTCCACAACTTTCTCTCTCCCCTCTGAAGCATTTTTTGTCAAAGTGGAGATGCACCAGTTGGGGCGGGTGGTGATGAAGAAGAAGACCCGCGTGCTGAAGGCCTCGGGGGGCCAGTGTCAGTGGACGGAGACCTTCCACTTCCTCCTCTCTGCGTTAGATCATGCCTGCTCGCTGTCGGTCAAACTCTACAGCCGGAGCTCGGTCAGGAGGAAACAGTGTCTCGGACAAGTGAGTTGTTTTTCATAAAGAAATAATAACCCAGACTTTTCTTTTAATTATAATGTGCTAGAGCAATTTTTTAAATACATTTTTAGTATTTATTGTTGTAATATTTCACAGTATAGGCTTCACTTATAGTGGAGCTGTCATTACTACTGATATGATGAAGGAAACAGTTCCATTTAGTAATTGTTCCTGAGCTTTCAACACATTTTTTTGGTAAATGAATTCTTCATATGCCAGTTTTCTTCCGCTAATGCACCCAAAAGTATCTCATTATCTCAAGATGTTTTTCCTTCTCAAAACATAAAGTACTTCTTAAGTAAACTAAAGAAAAGGTTTGAATATGACTGGAGATTAAATGCAACAAGCTGAGGAATTATCGTCTTCCCAATGTTTCTAACAGGTTCAGCTGGGATTTGACAGCCCTGTCGGAGAGGCAGTGGAGCAGTGGAAGGACACCATGGCTCACCCAGAGAAAGTGGTGTCTGTGTGGCACAGGCTGAGCCCTGCTTAAACCTCCTAAATTCCTCCTTGCGCACTACAAGACGTGACGCTCCCATGCTGCAGGTACAGCAGTGCCTGCTTGCTTTTCCAGTTGGCCGGCCACAGTCCTGTACGCTGGCTGAGTCGACTCTGATGGACCAGACTGTAAACCACTGAACGTGGTCTGAATGCCCTGGGAGACCAGGTTTCCACAGAAACAGTTTAGGTGCTCGGTTGTAAATAGGGTTTTCGAACAAAGTACATAAGGTTCTGGAAAGTGTTTTTGTGTAAATAAAATTGAGTTTATTATATAGCATAGCTTTAAGCTGTATATAAAGCTGTCTTTTGTAAGTATATCAAGTCAAAACCTTGCCACTCTGTTTTAGTTGGAGAGAAAGTTTACAAGCAGAGTAAATAACCATGAAGTCAAACTTGCTGTATTAAAACTTAGCGTGTAATTAAGGTCCATCTTAAAGGATGAAGCTTGTGATATTCTATGTTTTTCTTGTCAAGAAACCAACCAGCCAACACTACATTTGTCTATTTCTCAATACTTTCCGACTTTCCTACCGTGGCGTAAAAGCTTCCTTAAACAGCGAGACACTGTAGTTTTTTTGGCAAACATTACTTAAACCTGTGATAACATGTTTTTTGGCCACTTGGGGGCAGCAGAAGCAAGTTGTGATCACAACATTTACATATCACCACTTTTTAAGTTGATATGATGAAGTTACAGCAAACAGTTGTGAACAAAAGTCCAATATTAACTCTCTTTTATTAACTTACTTTTAACTTTTTAGTCTCTACCAACTTGTTTGGGAACTATCTGGCTCTTAGCTGCTGAATGCGCTTCTATGTTCATCAGCTAGTTGCTAACTGTGTCTGAATGGAGCTCTATTGTACAGAGAAATGAGCAATATTAGGCTTTGGATACACAGACTTGTTGAATCAATTCACTGTTGGTTATGGTCTTTTCCTGGTATTTCTTGACAATAAGAAAAATATCTCTCTACTTATCCTTTAATTTCCTATAAGGTGAGATAGAAGTTTTTCCATTACCCTAATTTACCTATATAGGATATCATGTTACTGTACAATACAGCAGTATCAAACCTTAGCTGTACGCTTTTGATAGTGAAGCACTTTAATTTTTGTATGTATTTAATGTTTTAAAGTTAAGTGATTAAAAGTAGGTGTCATTTGGAAACGTCCAGTTTGTTTGTGTGTTTATTTAAAGAAAGAAGTGAAAAGAGTGTTAATGGAAAATAAAATGTTTGAGTATTAGTCTATAAGTGATATTTTGTTTCAGTAGAACGTAAAATAAGAAGAGGGTTACTTCAAGTTTTGGGGATTTTAAGTGAAATGTGATGGATAGTCTTTTTTTAATGTCTCATTTGTGCCACAAGAAGGAAAACATGGCAAGGTCTTCAGCATGTACTGTACATTGCACACATTACACACAGTCTGCAGCGCTTGTAAAATAGGTCAACAACCATAAACCACTGTGTCACTTTTTATTGAAGAGGCCACTGATTGAGAAATCTCAAGGCAAACAGCAGGATAATCTGCCACACAGTGTTTCTCCTCTTGACTCTGGAACATCCTGTTTTTTTCAATTTCACCCTTTATCACAAAGGCAATTTAACGTCACTACTGTACTGTATACGAGCAATTTCATTCTCATCCTCGACACTTGAGGAGCAACTATAGAAAAGGACATTTTGCTGTTTGTGGAAAAATCAAAACAATTTCTGTTCAGCTGCAGCACTTTGAAAAGTTGAGTTTCAAATTCAAATTAAATTTGTCTACTTTGTGAAAAATTTCAACATTACAAAGAAAAAACAAACTTATTCATCCTCATTGCAGGCAATGTGTGAAAGTTTGGAGATTTGTAACAATTTGTAATTTTCTAATGATCATTTTGAACATAAAATAACATTTTTGAGAAACAAATTTGTGCTATTTGGGAATAAAACCCTCATATTTATCACCCCAGAGGGAATCCTGTCTCCCTTTCAGTCTCATAAAGCATGAGATTGACCAGCGACATGCTCTGTGTAACCAGCTGTGGACGTGGACATTCAAACACACACCCAGCGAACAATAAATCTGTGGACCAAGAAAACAGAGTCTGGCGAGTGTTTGCATTTGTGCAAGTGTGTGACCAGGACAACCAAGTGCTCCACGTGAGCTGACCTGCGTCAGAGCCCTTCATATCCTGGCATGCCAAAACACCATCATCTTTTTTTTAAACGTTATTAATGTTTGATTTATGGTTAATGTTACACAGAGGGCATTCCAGACACACCTTACCCTGTGACTTGACTTTAACAGTCAGCTCAGAGTAGCATGTTTGACTCTGACTCAGGAAAGGTGCTTGAGACTCGGAAGCAGGATTCAGGGTTTTTTTGTTCCTCTGTATGTTTAACAGACTCTTTTCTTGACACTTTTTTGGCCGGTTGCTACATTGAGTCTGCTGCACATTCCATTTGTCTCATAACTGCATGCTTCTATGTGCAGGTTCCTTCACCTGGGAGACACAATGGAGAGTTTACAGGAGTCCTGCAGCAGAGGAGAGCTGTAAGATTCATGCCTCTCTCATCATACAAAAGACCCTTTTTTGATTTTCATTAAAAATAAAAGGGTTATATGGCATACGACCATCTAAACTTATTAAAACTCGCTGACAACCTGTTGGAAAAACCTCATAAGACCTTGAGGGAAAATAAAAACATATTTTCTTAAATCCTAAATGTAATTCCTGCAGGATTTTTGGTAATGTTTTTTCCAGCTATATTCTTAAAGAATTTGCATAATTTGTTCTCTCTAGCTGAAGAAGTGTTTTTGAGATAAAAGATTGTATGACAATATGTATTCAAACAGTCAAAACTATTAAAGGGATCATAGTGAGCTATAGATCATAACTCCATTACAAGACAAAATCACTATAAACTGTTGCTCTAAATGTCACAAAAAGTCATTATTAATCAAAATTATAAAATTATCAAAAAGGTTTTGAAATGTTAAAAGATACAGATGAAACCTGACCATCTGTGTATGCAAAGCCTGATGTATGTTATTCCTCCATGCTATAGAACTCCATTGTTATATAAAAATGATTAAAACACATAATTCTAACTATGAACACACACACTGTAGTTTATTTTGAGTCAGTCTGACATTCAATGTCCTGCTGCTGGAAATACTCATTAGAGCAACAAATAATCTGCAGCTGAAAATAGTCCCAACAAATAAACTATTTATTACATATTGTATTAAAACTACATACTGGTGACTCATTTTTGTTTTTTTGTATTTTCAGAAGGACTCATTGAGCTTGGGGTTGAGTACCACAGACAGGGTAAGGAAGTTAGAGTACCTGATTGTTGGTCTTTTCATTGGACTTGTTGACAAAAACATATAATATTGCCAGCCTTATCCTTTAAAAATGTTGGGAAAAAAGAAAACCTCTTTCTGGGGACACAACTTTTTAAAAATGACAAACTATGGCGACTCACTTCACAGTGAGAAGAGCAAATTTGTACACAGTACATGAATGTTCCTGATCATTTTTACTGCTATTTCTGTATCAACTAATATTTTCTTGAACAGGTAAAGCAGCCATTTTGAAGTGATATAAATTTGATAAATCATAACTTCATCATCAGTAAAACAATAACTACGTTTTAAATACTTTATAAATGCCTATGAGTTTTTTCTCCCAGTAAAACTGAGAAAAAATATGTGCAATTAGGAAAGGTTAAGGCTCTCGTTTTGTACCTCATCAGTAGAACAATGTATACATTTTAAATACTTATAAATGAAAACAAAATATATGAATTCAGTAGGAGGTCTCCCAGTGTCTACGAATTAGACACAATTCTTTGTCTTTGGTTTTGCCACTAGAAGGCGCCAAAGTCCAGAAATGTTCAATCCTACTTATAGCAACTTTAATAGTTCCTCAAAGAATAGGTTATTTAACTGCCTCAGTTTGGACAGTTTATGAGTTTATGAGTAATCACAGTGCTGAACTTGACCCACCATGTACCAATTAATCAGTAAAATATTCGTTCCAACACAATCAAAAAGACAAAGCAGCTATGATTCATATTTCTATAGGAACTTTTCATCTAATTATTATGTAATGTAAAAGGTGTTGCTCATAGAAACAAACCCACAGATAATCAAAGTCTGACACTGCAGTTCCTCTCAACTGTACAGTGTTTTAGCGTCTCTCAGCTCAGCTCAACTTCACTGTTTTAGTTCACACTCACTCTCCTAGCGTAGTTTTAGCAGCAGGTAGCTGTTGTTTTTTTTTTTTTAACAAAAAAGCTCTAAAAACTCACTGACTGCCCAGAACTAAACTGCAGACAGACACAGTTTGCAACCAGCTGGTGAACATAGTGGAGCATTTAGCAGCTAGATATTTCCTTCAGGAGTTGGTAGAGACCAAAACACAGGCAAAAGAGATTATAATATGTCTTTAAATAAATGCTAATATTGTGGCTGGATGTTTGGATAAGTTTAAAACTGTTTGCTGACACATATTAACCTAAAAGGTGATACAGATGATACTGTATGTCAGTTTTGTGTTCAGAGCCTGTTTCCGCTGCCACTTTCCCAAGTGGCCATAAAATCAGTTATTAATGGTTTAAATGGAGTAAATACTTGGTTGAACTTGAAGGGTAAGTTACCAAAGCACCCAACGATTACTTTTGTCCAGCAGTGTAAGCTGAAATGATTAACTAGGGAGTTAGATCAGTGGAGAGGTTTAGAGGAAGTTGCAGACATTATGTTGATAGCAGGAAGCGGTAAAGGAAGACGGAGTAGAGAATAATGTTCATCAGGGCCACATGTGGTTGCAGAAGTACTACCACATTATTCTCATTAACCAGGTATATGTGCACTTCATCCTCCTATTGGGTGCAGCTGCTACAAAGCAGGAGAGCTGTGGTCGACCACCAGCTGCTGTTTTTTCATCAAAATGGGATTAAAAAAGTCTCTCGTCTGTCTGGAAGATGTTCAGCTACAGCTTCATCTCCTGGATTTGAATTCTTCACATACTGAAACTGATGGAGTGAAAACTTGAGCTCTTGGTTTAGAAAGATTTTTCCTTTCCCCTGTCTGGGTTTCTCTGCCTCGCACACACTGCAACTAAATTGCAAATGCATTTAGGTAAAAGGAAAAGCCTGTTTCCTTGTTCACCTTAAATCTTTCAGAAATTCATCATTCAAAAATATGTCAAGAGTCTTTACCGAACAGTCAACATCCATGCTGAGTCTCTGAAGGAGTCAGTACGCCCTCGTGTGATAATTGGTAGAAATTGCAGCATTGGATGGTCATCAAGTGTTGAGCAAGGTGTGGGTGTGAACAGGGTGACGCATTTACTCAGGCATAAAAACTCCCCTCTACAATCAAAAAGCAGGCAGGAACAAGAAAAGCTCAGTTGCCAAGATCACACTGAACAGTATGGACACAGACAAGAAAAATGTGATTCTCAGAGAAGGATTCCTGGTGAAAAGGGTAAGACTTTTTTTTTGTGAAACACTTAATAAAACAAATGCTGTTAAATATAGACAGTGTAGTGAGGGATGTAGCACACGGTAAACATACATATTTTTATATGAGGAGCAGAGTTTTGGCTTTTTTCTTAAATGGATGTAAACTTTTAGCACTAAAATCCAAGTAAAGTCAAACTAATGTAAATTATATTAGGGCTGAACCTTTGGAAGAGCAAAGAGTATGTTTCTTTTCTGGGAATATAATACATCTTTAATCATCTGATCACAGGGTCATCTTGTACACAACTGGAAGGCTCGCTGGTTCGTGTTGATGTCAGACAAGCTGTTGTATTACAAGTACGAAGGAGGCAAAAGGGACTCATGTCAGCGAGGAAAAATCCTACTGAAGGACTGTGAAATAACTTGTCCTTTTCTGGAGTATGAAAATCGACCGGTAAGTTCTTCCAGACTCAAAAGAGATACACAAAAGTTTCACAAAACATTTTAGAAGACTTTTTTGGTTTTTGAAGTGGAAGATTATATTGGAAAGTCACCTTGTTTATACCTTGAAAAAGTGTATTCTTAGTTTAAGTGTCAAGTGTCATAGTAAGTATGTATGTAGTTTTCTGTTTGTCTGTTGTCTTCATTTGTGAAATCAACCAACCAAATAATATGATGAACATCCATGTAG